AGAGAGAAAGAGAAAGAGAAAGAGGATAAAAGAAAAGGTAGACGACACGGTGGAGCGGCAATTTATCGATAATAATCGACTTGGTTTGGAGAACACAGGACGGTGAAAAAAAATCGCGAGGATCGAGTGCGTGGATTTCGATCCGCGCGCGAATCAGAGCGCGACGCCTCGATCCGGTCGTTTCACGCTCGCAGAATACGCTCGTGCAATTCGCGTGAATTACTATTCTTTACTACTCGACTCATCGTCTTACGATTAATGGTTTTTAATTGCTCCTCGTTTTTTTACAATTTTTCAATTCGCCCCACCAGGGAATTTTTTTTGGGGGGAGGTAAATTTTGTTCAAACAGCTACAATTGCAGAGCGTGAATTTTATTTATCTCGACTTTCTCTCGTCGAGATGACGAAACTTCGCGAGTTTATTAAATTTCTGGTAAAAAAGAAACAGATAACTTTCACGTTTTATTAAATACTAAGCGTCGGAGCATCTCACGATATACAGGGTGAATTAAAAATCGAAAACTGTAACTTTCTTGTTCTTATTCATTTTTCAACATTCGAAAGAAATCATTTTTAGAACGTAATGAAGAAAAATCAATTCATTTTTACAATTAATTTAAAATTAGTAGAATTAGCTTTCTCTTATATTTTATTAGCTTTTATCTTATATTTATTTTATTATTTATTTATCTTATCAATTCATTTTTACATTTAATTTAAAATTAGTAGAATTAGCTTTCTCTTATATTTTATTAGCTTTTATCTTATATATATTTTATTATTATTTATTTATTTACTATTTATTTATTTTATTATTTATTTATCTTATACTTGCTACTATCTTATATTTATTTTATTATTTATTTATCTTATACTTGCTATTATCTTATATTTATTTTATTATTTATTTATCTTATACTTGCTATTATCTTATATCTATTTTATTATTTATTTATCTTATACTTGCTATTATCTCATATTTATTTTATTATTTATTTATTTATTTATCTTATATTTGCCATTATCCTATATTTTATTAGCTTCTTCTTTTATTTTATTAAAATAAAAATAGGTGGGACCCAACTATTTTAACCTCGCCAAATGTTAATTTTATTGAAAAACAATTCTGCCAGTCGTTCAAACGAATCATTAACTCAAAGATAGATGCAGGACCAACGTCTCGAATGTTAATTCTCGCGAGGGGGCGACGGACAATTGTAATTGCGCTCGGTTCTCGTTCACGTTCACGAGGCGCGAAAGTTAAGTAAGAAAAAAGAATGAAAATACTTTCGTATTCGTCTTGCGGCTTGCCTCGGCTACGGTTCGGAATGCTCCGTGGAATTTTGCGAGCAGACAGAAGTGGCGTGAGAAAATCGTTCGGTTGGAAAATGGTAATTAACACGTCACGGACTTGAGCTGCTATATCTTGAATCAGGACACGTGTTTTGCTGGAACTGGCTTGAGAATCTAAAGCGAGAATGCAGAAGAGCACACGCGATGTATGATTTTGCGTGTTGTAAATAAATTTTGCGTGAAAATTATCTATTAATATTATCATTGTTTTTTCCAACGTGCTAGGTGGTTCAATGACTCTGTCCATTTTGAATATCTCCTATTGTTTCTCGACAATACGAGAAAACTTTTTTGACATAAGTTATAAGCATTAAGTACACGAGGGAAATGTTGGGAAATTTCAGTTTTCAACAACGACTAAATCAGAAAGCTTCGAACTAAAGTTTCCAAAAATACACTTGCTGTGAATACACTTGTTTTAAAAGGACTGAGAAACTTATTCTTTTTTTTTTTTTTTTTTTTTTAAATTTTTTTTCCGAATTTTTTTTTTTTTTTTTTTTTTAAATTCTCGACTTACGACCACTTTCGCAATTTACCGGCGCGATCGTCGGAAAGGAAACTGTTTCTGCCTGGCGGAACGTTCGGCTACAAAATGCAATTGCATCGAGGTCGCGTGCGCGCGATAACGGTGGCTTGGAAAACGGTCGAAGCGAGTCGCACGCGCACGACGTGCCCGCGACTTTCTCGTGCTGCGTGTCCGCGCGAGTGAACGTCACTTTCCCAGGCTGGTGCACGCCCTTCGCGATTCCACTTTCTCGTGATAACTGGCTGAATCGGTCGCACGCAATTTTTCACCGGCCTTCCAACCTATCATCAGTCACAACTTAATGCTCCGACGTACTAATTCCATTATTAGCCACTCCGCAGAGTGGCAAGAAGCTGTTGACTGTAAATATATACGACAATAAATAGTAAGTTAAGCTTAGAATAGGCAGGTATTATTAATTGTAAATTATCGTTATAATTTATTACATATGTGCGCTATTATTATTACATTATATTATATTGGTAATTAATTATATTATATTATTATATTATTTGGTACGCAATTCTATTATTATTATATTATATTACTTGGTAATTAATTATATTATTATATTATTTGGTACGCAATTCTATTATTATTATATTACATTACTTGGTAATTATTATATTATATTATTATATTATTTGGTAATAAAGTTAAAGTTAAAATTAAAAATTAATTGAATAAATAAGTAAAGTTGAAGTTACAATTTAAGAAAAATCTTCGAGATCGGAGATGACTCGCGCACACCTGCGTGCAGTTTACTTTTTCATCACAGTTTTAAGTATATTATATATATAAGTTTTAAGTATATTATATATATAGTTTTAAGTATATTATATATACAAACATGTATGCTCTCGAGGATAAATCAAGTTCGTGCATACAATGAATATCTTGTAGCAACTGTTGTTCATAAACTGCTCTATCTGCTTCGATACTTGCTGCGGAGGGCCAAAGGCGTCTCGTTCTGGTCCGCCGTGTCTGTGCAGGAATTCTTATTTCACTTCTACTCCACAGGGAGAACAGATCACTCCCGTTAATCTTCTTCAGCCGGTTAGATAATAAAAAATTTTCGTATTTTCCCGTAGAAAATCGCTGGCAAAGTAGACTACGAAATTTCTCGGTATTTTTATGCAAAAGGAAGAGAAATTTATTTATTTCGTGTAGAAAAATCTCTAGTCGACTTTGTATATGTTCAAATGTTTTTAGCGTAGAAAATTCGGCCAAGATATTATATTAAAAGTAGTATTTCTATTTAAAAGTATTTTAATACTGGTATGGAATGTAAAAGGAAAATATTTATTTTATAGAAAAATCTCTAATTAACTTTGTAGAAAATCGCTAGCGGACTAGGCGAATTTCAAGGTATTTTAATACTGGTATAAAATGTAAAGAAAAAAAGAAAAAAATTTATTTCACGTAGAAAAATCTGTAATCGACCTTGTAGAAAATTATCGGCAAGATTTATATTACAAATAGACGCGAATTTCCAAGTATGTTTATGTTTCTGTCGTTAGAACTGTAGAAATAAAATGTAAAAGAAGAGTTTTTATTTAGTGTAAGCAAATCTCTCAATTGACTTTGTACATTTTATGTAAAAATGTTTTCGTAAAGAAAACTCGCTGGCAAAATACATCAGTTGCAACATTTGCGAAGATTTACGAAGGGAGATTTCTGAATGTAAAATTTCTCTTAATACCAGAATAAAGGGAAACTTTCGAGCAACATTCTGCTATCCAATATCGTGCATCGTGACTTCGTAGAATGTAGAACGTTCAAACGAACGTTTCACACATCCCGCGATAAGATAATAAACTCTTTGTTTGCCATGGAGAATCCTCGATTTTTCTTTGCACGATGCAGTACGTATATAAAAGACGTATCCGACGTTTTGTTATTCGACGAGCGGGGCCTCATGGATCGCGCGCGCTTTTCGTTCAATTTTTGACGTCACTCACGGCACGTGCATTTTCAGTTTAACGACGCTGAATCAACCCTACTCGCTCGACTGACTCACCGCGAATTTTTAATCAAGTCTTTTCTGCGAAGAAGTTTATGGACGGATTTATAGCGGAGATCGTCTAAACAATCTCGCACGGCGGATCGATTTTTATCGCTCGTTAAAGAATTGACTCTAATGTTTGGCGGGGGCTCTGAAATCACACGCAGTGGCAACGTGTCTGTTCATTCGCCACATGTGTAGATTGATGATGAATATTCAAGAATATATAAAAAAAAAAAAAAAAAAAAAAAATGTATAAATACGTGGAACCAAATAAGTCAGATTTGAAACAGTAACTTCAAGAATGATCGTTGTCGCTGATCAAATGTCACTCATGTGACAGATGACAGCAATTCTACGTCGGAATTTAGCCTTATCCTTTTATAAAATATTTGAACAGCGTGTGCGTCGATCAAATTCATCGAAGGCTCGAGTATATTGTTATTGAAATGATTAATTAATTTATTGAAGTTCAAACAAGATACATTTTTAACACGTCGTGATGCACTTAATAAATATATCAAAAGATGTACGTTCGAAAATATGTATTTATTTTATTTATTTTATGTATTTTTATATATTTTATTTACGTTATGTTTTTATTTTCATAACTTAAATTCGGTAGTAAACTTGGAAAGTTTTGCTAATTTCAAAATATAAAAATATTATCACGTGTATTAACATGTGCTGTTATATTGTTATATCGAAATATACGTTTATTAAACGTAACATGTTATTCATAATACAATAATATTATTGTTACAAGTAATATACATAATAACACATAATTGATATAGTGTATACATTATATACTATGATATGCTATTAATTTTTTAATCAATTCTATAAAAATTTGGCGGAAATATTATCATATACTACACGTAAAGTGTCATTAATATACTTCGAATTAGATAATATTTCTTATACTGGCACAGTAACTCCTAACACAATAACCGCCATGTATAATTTATAAAATATATATATATAAATTTCACGTAGCTGGTTAAGATTCTAATCGGACTCGAGCGTGCGTCGTACACCGTTCGCATCAATAATACCTCCGGGCAATGATCCACGTCGAACTACGTTGCAATTGATACCAAATACGAGGCTGCAACCATACGTGTCTAATTAATACTCGCTTGCGACGCGTTCCCATACTTTTACCATTTCGAAATTTCCCGACGACGCGAGCGTGTATCGTCGGCGGACAGAGAGAACAAGCTGACATAACAACGTATATTTTTAGCAAATACGCAGAACTTGGCATAAAATTCCGCGCGGACCGCGGCCGGAATTTATTTAGATAAAATCCGCTCCACGCTCGAATCTAATTTCCTGCCTCGTTCTTCTGCCGATCGGATCGGATGTGCCGAAGAAAAACACGCTTTCCACGATCATTTCTAAGACATGGTGTTTAGGTTAGGTTAGGAGTATTTAGGTTAGGTTCGTCACGCTGGACGTGACAATAGAAATTTGCTATGAAACTCGTGTGTCACGTTGGACATTGTTTCAAAAATTATCAAACTTCGAAAAATTATAAAAAATAAATTGCAGTATACAAATAAGTATACTCCCAATAGATTAGAAGTAATTAGGTTAGGTTAAGTTCGTCACGCTGAAGGTGACAATAGAAATTTGCTATGAAACTCGTGTGTCACGTTGGAAATTGTTTCAACAATTATCAAACTTTGAAAAATTATAAAAAATAAATTATATTATACGTAATAGGCTAGAAGTATTTAGGTTAGGTTCGTCACGCTGAAGGTGACAATAGAAATTTGCTATGAAACTCGTGTGTCACGTTGGAAGTTGTTTCAAAAATAATCAAACTTTGAAAAATTATAAAAAATAAATTGCAGTATACAAATAAGTATACTCCCAATAGATTAGGAGTAATTAGGTTAGGTTAGGTTCGTCACGCTGAAGGTGACAATAGAAATTTGCTATGAAACTCATGTGTCACGTTGGAAGTTGTTTAAAAAATAATCAAACTTTGAAAAATTATAAAAAATAAATTGCAGTATACAAATAAGTATTTTCATAATAGGTTAGGAGTATTTAGGTTAGATGTGTTATGCTGGAAGTAGCAATACAAATTTGCTATGAAACTTGTATATCACGTTGGAAATTGTTTAAAAACATATCAAACTTTAAACAATTATAAAAAATAAATTATATTAAACACAATGTTAGGAGCATTTAGGTTAGGTGCGTTATGCTGGAAATAACAATATAAATTTGCTATGAAACTTGTATATCACGGTGGAAATTATTTAAAAATTATAAAACATAAATTATATTATACACAATAGCTTAGGAGCATTTAGGTTAGGTAGCTCACGCTGGAGGAAATGAAAATTTGCTACAAAACTCGTATATCACGTTGGAAGTTGTTTAAAAAATTATCAAATTTCAAAAAAATTATAAAAATACATTATATTATAGTAGCAATAATAAATAAATAAAAAACATTGAATTTCACCATTGTACATTAATTTACTCTAAAATAAGTATCTACAAGTGGACGCGCGAGAATATTGAAGGCAAATCGAGTTCAAAGAGTTAATTGTTATCTTTATTTTAATTGGCAAGTTTGTTGTTGTTGTTGTTGTTCTCGGATTGGTGAGTTTGCGAGAAAAATATCAGAGTATTTTTTAGTGCGTGCAAAAATTGAAATAAGTTACAATTCCCAGAGAAGATCAAGATCATCCACGTGTGACAAACGCTTCTTGTAAAAATAAAAAAAACAATCCCAGATCTTACAACAATCTAGAAAATACAACTCTCGACAAACACTGCGTCAGTCAGACAGAAAGAAAAACCCACTCCAGATACATGTATCTAATCGAGGGTGTATCATTTTTCTGAAAAAGCAGAAACGACTCTTGCAAAAGCGAGAACGTCATCGAGAATTTATCGTGTACGAAATCTCTGATTGGAAATCATCGCTAATTGGATTACCAGCCCACTTACGAAAGATCTAAACGCTTACGAATCTACAATCTACAATTCGAATCGGCACTGTTGTCGATTTATTTTTGAAATAAAACGCTACGTGTGTCGCTAGCCCGCTGGTATCTGGTTCGCGGACCATAACGAGTGACCGAAACGTATACAATAATTTGTCGCTTTCTTTTTCTTTCGAAGTCATCGGTATGATATCACTGGACAAAAACTATTAAGAGGTAATAAACTTATCATTTATATTGCCTGGGTTACATTTAAATATACTTAAATATAAATTTAATATATTTAGATATACTTGAATATGAATTTAATATATTTAAATATACTTGAATATAAATTTAACATATTTAAATATACTTGAATATAAGTTTAATATATTCAGATATACCTGAATATAAATTTAATACATTCAGATATACTTTCATATAAATTTAATATAATTAGATATACTTGAATATAAATTTAATATATTCAGATGTTCTTGAATATAAATTTAATATATTCAGATGTTCTTGAATATAAATTTAATATATTCAGATATACTTGAATATAAATTTAATATATTCAGATATACTTTCATATAAATTTAATATATTCAGATATACTTTCATATAAATTTAATATAATTAGATATACTTGAATATAAATTTAATATATTCAGATGTTCTTGAATATAAATTTAATATATTCAGATGTTCTTGAATACAAATTTAATATATTCAGATATATTTAAATATAAATTTAACATATTCAGATATACTTAAATATATTAAGTTACTTTAAATATACTTAAAATTGAGAAAATGTTGCAATTCCCGACGTGCGTGGCACGTCATTCCAGCGCAAGAGGTGAACCTCTCGGTGTTACAGTGAGATTTCTCGCGAAGCTACGCTTCTGACTGCGAGAAAAACTGAAATTTACATCCGGCGGTGGCTCACACCTTGTAATTACGTTAGAACGAAACTTCAACTAGCTTCAACAATAAGTCAACATTTTGAAAAAAGAAAAGGAGCAAACGTAATTATTTTCGTGTAAATTGATTTTGACGACAGTTTGAAAAAAATGGTGATATATACGCGAAAGCCAGCCTTCAGTAGCTGAGAGTGGTTAATTAAACGCTCGTTGCTCGTGCGGGCAACGTTTGCAATTGTTGACAATTGACGGTGGCCCAAAGAGAAGGGAAAATAGGAAAAAAAAAAAAAAAAAAACGACGCAGAGGACGAAAATAATAGTCGCGGAGAGCTGGCCGCGCTGACGAAACGCAAATAAGTTGCGCGATACATTTTTCACGGCACGTATGCTCGTGCAGAAGGCACGGCGTGAGTGGAACAGATGTTGCGCGCCAGAGGCAACAATTTCAAGTGGCCGCTGTTGTCGCGTTGTTCGCGCGACTTGCCAAACGCATTATTGGCACCGGCGAAATGTCGGTCGGCCTGTCTCGCGTTTTATATACGCGACATTGTTCTCGACGTGTTCGCCAACGTATGCAACTGTGACGCGTCGACTTCCATTGAGAGCCAAGCGTCACGCGACAGTTTTGTTTCTCTTCGAATGAAATTTTTTCGTATCTCCGTACATTTTCGGATAATCGTTTTATATATATAAAAAAAAAAAAAAAAGGTCACACGTTGAGAAATTAGATTTACGTACTAAACCACGTGTATTGAAATTTCAAATTGAATAACAAATTTCTAACGTCTGCGATACACTTTTGCAGAAATTCGAAATAAAAACGAACGTGTTGATCCATTTTTTTTTTTTTTTTTTTTTTTTTGAGACGAAAGAGACGAAATATTTTTTACAAAAGTCGAATTTTGTCTCTCTTTTTTTTTTGGAAACAAGGCGAAGAATTAACATCGAAAGACGATTCTTGGGACGTTGTGTCTCACGAACGAAACTTGGACAGGCGTTTTAAAGTCAACTCGTGCCTCTGGCCTTTAATTTCCTTTCTTCCGTACGAAAACAGAGAGTCAAAGAGAAAGAGAGTACGTAACGCCAACGTGCTTCAAATTCTTCTCCTCGCCACCTTCCTTCTCTTCACCTCTCGTTTCGGCCAATTAAAATCTCCGTTCTTCGTGGGAAAATTTAATTAGGAGAAACGCGAACAGTGACTGAACAAAACTGAACGCTCACGTGGAATTTTAACGCGAATAATATATTTTATCGAGCATTTGAATGTGGGGCACAGAAATGTGGCTTTGAGTGTGTTTTGTGACATTTCCAACAAAATTTTACTGTCGATGTTCTGACAGATGCAAGATGTTCTCAATGTGGAGTCAGTTTCGCATAGAAATTTATTCAAATGAAGGATTATCGATACTTTGGATTATAACTTCGTAAGAAAAAAAAAAAAAAAAAATAAGAATTCACATAGTGATCTACTTTCACATGGTCTTGTTACAAAGCATTAAAAACCTCTACTTTGACTACTCTGATTTCATTTTTTCCCCTCAAGACACTTCATCATCACGCAGCAAGTGGAAAAGTGCTAAGTTTAAAAAAAAATACTGAAAAATTTTATTTACCACTAAACAATTCTCCTACAATTTTTTTTTTTCAGTCATTTCATTGAACTTTGGATGTCGAACGACAAAAATTCAAAAATCGCGTCGTTCAAAATTAAAGAAAAAAAAAAGTCGTATAACAAAGTTCAAAGTTTCGTCGTAGAGAAAAAAATTGGGCCAAAAATGTGAAGGAAAAACGAAATTTTTAATATTTCCAGAGAGAACGCTCTAACTTTCACAATTCGCGCGAGGATAGAAGTGGTCTTCTACGCGATAACAAAAACATCTTTGGAAAAAAACGAACCTAGAACAGCCAAGGTAGAAGCGTCACGCTTTAAAACAAGATCAATTATTAAATTGCATGATTCTGTTTCACCAAGTTGCGACAGTTCAAAGTATCGATTAATTTTTCGTCGTTGCGCGGTCAGTTCTCTGTGTCCCTCCTCTTCGAAATGTTGCGAAATGTGGCGTTGCTTTGCGATTGATTAATTAATAAGCGAATGAGGCACTCGTTCGTTAGAGTTATCACCGATTCGACACAATTTCTAATTACTCGAGAGGCGATGAAACGTTCGAGAGAAAAAAGGAAACTTTGAACGTCGCGGAGGTACGATCAGATTTCGCGACGAGCTGCGACTGTTGAGAAAAATTTCAAGCGGCGGCAAA